ATTAATGTTTGCATTCAGAACACCAGAGGAATTTCCCATCAACCACTAGATAAGTGCTGGTAAATATTCATATGGCTGACTAAACCAGCTTGTTTAGACAGGAGTACAACCAGCACTGAGAGGCTTCTTTCTGATCGGTGTACAACCGGCTGGTTAAATAGTTCAAATGGTTGACAAACTTTCTACCAGGCATCATGAGCTTCTTGCCCTGACCTCTAGTAACAGTGATCAAATGGAGAGACAGAGAAAATACACCTCAGTATTGGTATGGTCGGTTCAACACAAGTGCAAAAATAATGTGTAAAAATGAGTTTGTTCAAGTGCTGTGTGATGACGAAACATGTTCGGCACTCCAGTCCAGTGAGATCTTAGCAAGTCCTTCAAAACAAAATGAAGTCTGGTCTTCAGGTTCCTTTGTGTCTCTGTTGGATGATGTGGGACATGAAAGGCTCGGTCCTTCACCCAGATTAAAATGTAAATGTCTGATATTTACTAACATGAAAGGATACAATCATTCAACATATTATTGATTTAGATGCTGAACTGTCTCTATTCTACAAATCATTTAAAATGATTTCTTATGATCATCTTATACTGTACCAACCCTCAGCTTGAAAGGCACCTCATCATTTTGCAACATAACAAAACATAGTGAGCAATTCTGTTTAATCACTGGAAATTTATCCTCAGCCAAATACTTGTAAATGTCTGTAGATGTTCACAAACTATGTTCAGCCACACACACAATTCTGTGTTTTCAAAGCTTCAAAATATAGTGAAGTTAATGCCAAATACATCAGAGCCTTTATTAATGTCCTAATTTTCTTATGATCTTCAGACAGCAGGAAGGATTTTAGTCAGTTTAATAAGATCACTGTCTTGATAATAAGTCAACTGTAACTCTATATGTAATGTAGATTTCCCATACTTTTGTGAGGATGAGTAATATTTGTCTCAATTTTATGGCTTCTCTACTTAAAAAGTTAGAACAGTTTTACTGGGGAAAAAAAAGGCATTAGAGGGCAGAATAAGCAAAAACACAACCTGTGCAATCCACTGTGTTTGGTTAACTTTACTTGTTAGGCTAAATTACCTGTCCAGCAGAAACCAGACAACATAGCATCATTCTGGAAACATCTGTCTCTCATCCAGGGCTTCCCTCTGGGAAAGGCCACACCAGTGTTTATTCTCATCTTGCGCCGTCGCCTGTCCCATTTCTTCGTGTCGTTGTTCCTTTGATGATGGGGAGTCGCCCTGTCTTCTTTTTTCTTGTGTTAAAGTCTGATTATGATCTAACATTTTTTCAAATTATAGTTCTTAAAGCCACAACAAAGTTTCTTCTTGTTTCTAAAGTTACTTCTTCATCTTCCAAGTATTTCTAAATCCAAGCTGCTTTTTCATTGTGAACAAAGATAGATATAAAAGGCTCATTCTGAGCCAAAGAAAACACAATGAGTCTTATTTTCTGGCGATTACACATTAATAAAATCATAACTATGCATACTATAGCCTGTTTCTGTTAATAACACACTTCACCTTTAGATTTTATAACTGTAATTTCCCACCCAACTCCGTCAATCTTTTCCATAATCTAACCACTGGAGAAATGTATGTACAGAGAAATGGGAAGATCTTGTTTGATGTAACCACATTTTTAACTCGCTGCTGTCGCCAAGTGCTGCTCAAGGGGTATTTATGGGGTTTTCCCTCTATAATAATAATAATAGTATGGGCTAGACCTTACTTTATAAAGTGTCCTGTGACGACTTTTGTTCTGACTTGGCGCTATACAAATAAAACAGAATTAAATTGAAATAACACGGTCCTGACCTTACGTATGGGACTGTGTGACTCTGTTTAGGTACTGTAGTTCCAAAGCTTCATTAAAGGCAGACAAGCCAAAGATACAAAATACTCCCAGACTGCACCCTGTTTGGCACCTTTCAGCGTAATCTCCTTCACTGGCAACATAGAGCGGCACATACAATATTTAGCATGAAATACAGCTGAAGTATCATTTCTGACAAATTCAGTCTTATGTTTTCATAAATACCGTGATATTTGATAATGAGGAGGGTATTCACTGGTGTATCACAAACGGTCAAATAAATCCTGCTTTACAAGAATAAATTATTGGGATAATGACAGTGTCAAATGTGAACTGTCCCAGTCCAGAACAACAGTATAGCGCCTCTGCTGAAACCCTGTATTCCATAAACACTAAAGGCTTTTACTATGCAAAACACAAAGGTAAAAAGTCCCCTGTAGTTTTGGTTATGATGGCTTATTTAAACTTTTAAAAAAGTTAATTGTCCACATAGAAAGCAAAGTCTTCAGTAAACTTCACTAATGCACTTCGTATGGCCGATTAAATGCTGGATTGGGGCTTATGCAGTATTAACCACAAACACACTGATGCTCACTAGCTATTGATCATGCATGCCTGTCTAAAACACAGAAACCTTACCACAGGAATGCTAACTGCTTCTGCTTGTCAGGTAAAACCTCATGGCTTGTCAATATGTCAATAACCAAACAATGGTACAAATGATTTTTGTACAAAAAAGAAAGTGGTGCAAGACAAGTGTGATTTTTGGACTATAATTAAAGGACTTGTCCCATCCTCAGGCTTCCTAAAAACCTGAACTCTCCCGTCAACCAAGACCATACATAGTGTTAGCATCGAGCAGTAACTCTTGCATTTAATTCCCAGGCACTGTTCCCTCCACGTCTGGTCCCTGAACCATTCGTCCATTACAGCAACTCACAACTTCTTACTCACAATATGACACAAACACTGGCTCTGTCAATGAAGAACTACAGACATGTACTTTGGAGTCCTGGGCCACCTCTGAAGGGCACTACAAAGGAGAGATGAGTAGATTTTCACCAAGGCCGCAGGACCACATGAAAGTTTTCTTCAGCTTCATCTGACGGAAAACGCAGTTATGTTTGTTCTTGGTGCCAGATGCTTCGTTGGCAGGTTTTCCAGGAGAATTTGTCCCTGCAAGATACAAGTTGGTCAACAAATGTCTTTCACTACTTGTGGGAGTCTGTCTACCTTCCAGGGAAGTGGATATGAAAGTAACACAGGCTGAGTAACTTCCTCTGTCCCACTCTCATTGCTCTCCTCCTCATCAGGCGGCCATTTTGATACACCTGCATGTGCCCTCCTCCTCCTCTCCTCTTCCCTCTCCTGCTTCCTCTTATTACCACCCCCTGGTGGCCCAAGGCGGGGTGGCGGACCACCGCCCTTGGCTTCTGCCTCCTCACACGACTGTGCTGATCCGGCTGGCGGGTTTCGATTTGGGGCCGCTCCCTTGTCCTCCCGCTGCCCCTGGGTGCGGGGAGAGCGGGGCGGTTGATGGGGGCGGTAAGGGAGAGTGTGGAGGGGGAGGAGGGATGGAGGAGAGGGGTGGATACTGAGGGCCGTAGGGCTGTGGGGGCGTCTGGCTGACGAGGCGTGCCGAGGGAGTCTGGGGTGGTGGGGTGGCGAAGATGAAGTGGGTGGCGGGAGATGCGGAGGGGGAGGGGCTGAGGGGGGAGTGTGTGTGCATGGCGTGGTTGTGAGAGTGTGTGTGAGCGTGGGGGTGGGGCTGAGAGTGCGAGATGGTTAGCGGGAGTTTGGCGCCTCCACCTGGCCTCCCAGACATAGGGTGCGAGTGGTAGAGTCCGTGCGGGGTGGTGGGGGTGAGAGGGGAGTGCGGGGACACGGAGAACCTGTGCGAGAGGGCGTGGTGCTGTGGGACGCTCTGCATGTGGTAGCGGTGATGGTGGTGGTAGGGTGGGGGTGGTGTCTGCTGCTGGTGATGCCCAATAACACTGACTCCGCCTCCTCCACTGTTGACGTGGCAATACTGGGCGTGTAAAGCCTGGAGCTTGGGTGTGCCCCCTCCCGGGCCTCCTCCCCCTCCAACTCCTCCCGGGTCCGACTGGCCGAGGTTGGCCGATGGGGAGGGGCATGGGGAAGGGG